AACATTCAGAAAACTAAGATCATGGCATTCGGTCCCATCACTTCATGGCAAATAGATGGGGAAACAGTGGAAACAGTGGCTGACTTTATTTTTCTGGGCTCCAAACTCACTGCAGATGGTGATTGCAGCCATGACATTAGAAGACACTTACTCCTTGGAAGGAAAGGTATGACCAACCCAGATCGCATATTAAAAAGCAGAGACATTACTTTGCCAACAATGGTCCATCTAATCAAAGCTATGGTTTTTCCAGTGGTCTTATATGGATGTGAGAGTTGGACTATAAAGAAATCTGAGTGATGAACAATTGATGCTTTTAAACTGTGGTGTTGGAGGAGACTCTTGAGAGTCCCTTGGACTGCAAGGAGATCCAGCCAGTCCATCCTAAAGGAGATCAGTCCTGGGTGTTCATTGGAAGGATTGATGCCAAAGCTGAAACTCCAATACTTTGGCCACCTGATGCGAAGAACTGACTCATTTGAAAAGACCCTGATGCTGGGGAAGATTGAGGGCGGGAGGAGAAGGGGATGACAGAGGATGAGACAGTTGGATGGCATCACCGACTCGATGGACATGGGTTTGGATAAACTCCTAGAGTAGGTGATGGACAGGGAGGCCTGGTGTGCTGCGGTCCATGGGGTTGCAAAGAGTCGGACACGACTGAGCAACTGAACTAGAGCTGGTCAGTGGATTAAAAAAAATTCAAAAACATGTTCTAAATGATCCATGTTGTCTCCAAAACATGAGTCTGATCTTTCTGAAAGGACTAAGTTGTCTCGTTCTTCTTTTTTTCATCAGTTCTCTTTCCTTAAATAATTAAGGTCCTTCTTAAGGATAGACATCACATCCCTAAAGAATGAAACCTCATAAATGCAGAGATGTGTGTGTGTGTGTGTCTGTGTGTGTGTGTATCTTCATGTGCAGGCAGGAATTATCTCTTTTCCCCTCTCATTAATGTAAACTGGAAAAATAAGAGGAGACTGAGAAAGTACGTCCATTCCTTGGAGCTTAAGAGAAAATTCAACAGTC